TAATTAAGTACTTTTTCCATTAAGTGCTTATTACACCACTCCAGAGGCTACAAATTAAGATTCGAGTCCTTTTCCATGTCTTATTCCATAAAGTCACTGACTTGGTGACTTTACTTGGCCCAAACTAACTCAAACTCCAAAAATTATCTTCTACTACCATTAAGAGGGCTAGATCTCATGCATGATTATGAAAGGACCATCAAGTTCGAAACTTTGCTACTTATGGGACTCATATGACATTAAGGGTGGCAACCATTGACCTAGAAAATGAGTTGAGTCATAAAGGTCCATCCTTGGGATCAAAAGAGTCCATAAACCCTCCTAAAGAGATATAAAGGATTAAACATCAAGCTTATGATTTTATACCTTGAAAAGGTCTGAAGTGAAGCAACAATCCTAGATCTGAATCTTCTCCTTTGCACTAATACCTTGCCTTGACCTTTGCTTATTTGAAGAGTGGATTCAAAACACCAAAATTCCTTCACAAAGCTTTCCAAGCTCCAACAACGCTCCAAGGAAGGTTAGGGTCTCGTGGTGGTTGTTTAAGGCTGAAATCGAGGCAGACCCTTGATACATATCATTCCTTATATAGTGGCATACCCTAAAATTAGGGTTTTTGGATTCCTGATCGTATGTAGAGCGTACTCCTAGTACGTTGGGTGTACGCCTCCATGAACCTGCGACCATGTAGCATTATACACTGGGCATAACTAGCCTTACGATGGGCGTACCCACGCGTCTCCAAATCGCATGCATGGCCCTCCATGCCAACTTTTCTCGATAAGAGACCATTTTATCCAACAACTTAAAACTGTCATAACTCCTTCATTTCCAAGTCCGTTTCTGACGAACTTTATATCTACAAAAAGGTGGCGATTAGCCCTAAGCTTCTAGTGACACACCCCGACCCAAAACCTTCTCGAATAGCAACTCAAAATCTTAAAAGACCAAAACACCCCTAACCCTGGCCTCTAAGTCCACGAACGAATACTTCTAGAATAAAGCGTTAAAATTAAGAGTTAGGGTTTTGAGGTGAGGACTCGGCGAGTTGGGAGCCTAATTCATCGAGTAGAGGGTGTTTCAAGGACACATAATCTACACCCTAATCGATGAGTCAGAAAGCAGACTCGACGAGTAGGCGTTGTAATGATAAAACCCAAATTTTAGGGTTTGCACCCTATATAATCTCCTGATGAGCCTTGAGGCTCACCTCCCATCAGCCACTCTCTTCGATTTTGTGAGCTAGAGTGACCTTTAAAGCTTAAGAAGAAGGAGATAGTGAGAATATCCAGCAAACCAAGCACCCATCCTTGAGCTTAATCATCTTGTGAACTGTTGTAAGTCTTCAAGACTCGATTTTTATCAAAGAATATGGCTAGATCTTGAGTTTTCTCTTTATTTCCTACCCTCCTTGTTAAAAGCATGCATGGGATTCATAAAGTTTTCAACTTTATGAATCTCTAGAGCAAAATGGTCCCAAGGTGGGCTAGATCTGCCCATTGGTTGAGTAGGGACACCATGCATGGGTTTTAGGGCATATTTTCCCTCTTTTTGGCCATTTTGACCTAAGGACATGCATTGGACATGGATTTCCATAAAGCCTCCATCTTTGGAACGTCTTGAGGACTAGAAACTCTTCTGGAAAGGAGGGATTTTAGATCCCTAGAGCTTTGGACCATATGGCAAAGCCTTGGAGCTTTTTCAATCCTTGTTATGTGCCTTGGAACATTTGGAACGGTCCTAGAAGGCAAAGTTGGAAACTTTATCCTTCTAGACACATTAGGGAATTAGATTTAAGCCCTGAGTCCCTGGATTCAGTGTATCATCGCAACAACCAAATAGAATGGGGAACTCGACGAGTTGCTCTAGGAACTCGACGAGTCGAATCAGTTTTCCCCGCCTTCTAAATATCAAGTTAACTCATCGAGTTGATGAAACAACTCGGTGAGTTGGCTAGGGTTTGATCGGGACTCGGTAGGAACTCGAATAGTCGCTAGCTACACTCGACGAGTTGAGGTCAACATGGACTATTGACTTTAACTTTGTCGAAGGTTGACTTTGGGAGTAATTTCGGGTTTATGACAAGTCTATCTTATGACGCTTTTAGGCAGTTGAGTTGGAGGAGCATGTGGGTAATATTTGATCATAGTTTGTCAGTTCAACATTCGTGAATGGTGAGTCTTCTCACCATACCTATGGCTCTAAGGCACCAATGTCAGCCCATTATGTGTTTTTGATTTACATGGTAGTCATTTTGTGTTTTGATATGCTTTATGATATGCTTTGCATGGAAGACCTCGGGGGGGAGCCCAAGGCATTGGGTATGAGATCATGTGGGGTAGCCCACGGCATTGGATATAAGACCATGTGGGGGTAGCACATGGCATTCCCTCAGGTTTTACGTGTGTATAGCTTATGTGATATGTGTATAGCTTAATAACTAACAAGTTATGTGATTGTGTGTGGTATGCTTTAGGGTACTCACTAAGCTTTCAACCATACAGTTTTTGGATTTGTTTCAGGTACTTTGGAGCCCAAGGGCAAGGGCAAGGTGTGATGGCGTGGCGTGCACTCTATCTCTCTTTCACTGATATTATTTTGGGGGCACTCTGATATTTTCTTTTAAATAAATTGTAATGATTGTGGATTTGAAATCAATTAAGATTGGGATTTTATGATCTATGCAAGAATGATTGACTATTTAAAAACAAAAAATTTACTTAAAATTTTGGGTCGTTACATTCCGCTTCGTGCTAGGGCATTACCCTAGGCTTGGGGGTTAGGTTGTTAGAGAGAGAGTTTAGAGAGAGAAAGAGATGATGGAAGGTGTGAGGAAAGCCCTCCCCGGCACCTCTATTTATAGGCTGGCTGGCAGCCCAACTCTTCGAGTCTCATGGCCAGGTGTCACCATCTAGTGGCTAGCCTTGGGGAGGAAGCAACGGCCAAGATTGCACCACGTTACCCGATTTCACACAGCACCCTCGCAACTTAGAAAAATCATATCTTTTGCATACGAGCTTCGTTTTCGACGTTCTTTATATCCACGCATAGGTGGGATCATACTCTACAACTTTCGTTTAGGCTTTGTAGGCTAATTAAGAATTAACATTTACAATTATATGTTTAATAGGCAGGGACAAGAAAAGTCTGTTAAAAATCCATAACTTCTTCATCCGACGTCTGTTTTCGTCTATCTTTATATCGTTGCGCTACTGATAATGAGATCTTCAATTCACATTTAGGTTGCGTTGTCCAAAAACTGCTCGATCTAAAATTCGAATTACGGGTTGTGCACTGCTAGGCCAAATCTTAGAAAAATCATAACTTTGTCATACGAAGTTAGATTTGGGCATTCTTTTTATGCATGATCTCGCTTTAATGTATACTACGATTTTTTTTAGATTGCTAAGACTAAAATGTCCTCTATCCTAAATTCACTATTTACGTCGCGCAGTATCTTGTCGGTTCTGTCGCGAAACTTTGACGGGCCATAACTTCTTCGTTATAACTCGGATTTCGGCGTTCTTTATATGTACGAAATCCTTGTGACATATGCTACAACTTTTACTAATTTAATCATTCTAAATAATCTTCTATCAAAAAGTCTTTTTCGACACTTATTATCTCTATAATGACTAGCTAGAATTTGTGGGCATTACAAGTCGAAACAACTACTGTTCCACTATCACAACCAACATCACCACCTTAAACATCTGTCATTCCATCTATTTCTGTTACACTAATTTCTCCAACTTTTGCTGGTGTCATGCTAGAACCTATTGCTACTATTTTCTCATCTCAATCAACTGAATCTTAGAAGTCCTTACATGAAGATGAAGCAGATGATGATAATGTTATGTTTTCGTTTGTTGAGTTATAGTTCAACCCTAAAGAAGAAGATATATCTGATCAATTAATCATGTCGGGTAAACAATTCAAGATTCTTAACTCAAAAATGAATTATATTCTTTAATTTTTGGTTGATACTGGCAGCAAGAACTTAGTTAGTGGTGTTGAAGTTGAATATCTTTTAAAGGCTCAACAGTCTCGACTGAAGAATATAATTGAAGATGTTGATAAGATTAGTGATGAGCGAGTGGTCACTCAGTCATTTATTTTTTATTATGAGATTTCCAAGTTACGGGAAGTAGCGAACGAGCGTCATGAACTCTTTGAAAAACCGGTGTCTGAAACGAAAGCTTCTCTTAAACACAAGGTTAAAGAGCTTAGTGATGTGATCTCTATAGAGGCTGCAATGTTTGGCAACTTATGTGTTTTCGTTGAGAAAAAAGGTTGATGTAGTAGCCAATGTAACAACTCGTATGATAGAAGATCTTACTGCCTTCAAGAAATATTATTCGAATGATCTCCAAGCCAAGACTGAGAAGGATGACAAAGTGTTTAAGAAAGTTGAAGAATTTTTATCAGATTTGAAAGAGACTTGATCGAAGGTTGATATTTCGACTCAATCTTCCATTTCTCAAGATTCCATTTTGATTATGGTTGCAAACATTGAGTCAAGTATCAAGGCAGAGTTGGCTCAAGTCTGAAATTTGGTACTTAGATTACCAACAAATGCTCTAAGTACTATGCAAGTCTCGTAAGTGGGAGATAGAGGTGTTGGTTCATCTAAGGGATCTGGTGAAGATACAAGAGCAGTTGTAGGGAAAGTTATGTCTACCCAAATTCCAACAACAATTGAATTGATGCCAGTTATCTCAGATTTCAAAGAGACTTTATTGAAGGTTGATATTTTGATACAATCCTCCATTTCTCAAGATTCCATTTTGATTATGGTTGCGAACATTGAGTCATGTATCAAGGCAGAGTTGGCTCAAGTCTGAAATTTGGTACTTAGATTACCAACAAATTCTGTAAGTACTATGCACGTCTCGCAAGTAGGAGATAGAGGTGTTGGTTCGTCTAAGGGATCTGGTGAAGATACAAGAGGAGTTGTAGGGAAAGTTATGTCTACATAAATTCCAACAACAATTGCAATGATGCCAGTTATCACATCATCAACAACCACTTCAACCTCAAATAAAGAAATTTCGATTAATGTTAATCAGTCGAAATATCAAAATAAAGAAATTTCGATTAATGAAGGAGCTGGAGGTTCGATTTCTACACTTGTCAAATCAACCTCAAATGTTGATCCCAAAGACAAAGGGAAAAACATTCAAGTTGAACAAACTGATGAGGAGAAGAAATGGCTACAATCAACAGAGATGGAAAAAAAGACACATAAACACCATTTTGAGTCAAATGCTGAGTTAAACAAGGGGGATCCAAAAAAGCAATGGTGTTACGAAATAATTGAGATTTTTGTTCTTGGTAAGAATGATGAATTCCTGAAAAATCCTAAGAAAAGCTATGACACTGAGAACTTGGAATTCCAATCAACTTGATTTCCTAACCAGTTATATGTTATTCTTGTCTATCAGTTCAAAATAGCTGTCAACTTCAATGATAAAGATGAATATAAGAGATTTAAGATTCTCTTTCATGCAGTCTTAGGAAAAAGCAAAGAGGAAGTTTTGTCATCGATGAAGATAGTTAAAGTGATTTTGATAGTGCCTGACGTGTCTTTCGAGGGATTGCTGCAAAACTTTCGTTATATTGTGGTAGGGGAAAATAATATGGTGTTCGAATTCTTAATTTCAGACTTTCCTTTGATGAATTTTAATGATCTTATCACTATATCAAATATTTTGTGCAATGTTGTTGTTTGCAAAGTGGTAGAGGCGAATAGAGATGCATTTATTCTTTGATACGGTCACATAAATGCATATCTTGATTGCTATTATGGTTATTTGGCTATTACTAATATTGATATTGCCTTGGCAATCAATAAAACTTCAAATGTGCCTCAATCATTGTTGAAGGGAAGGATAAACATTGATAAATTTGAAGACGATGAGATTATTCATCAACCTTTTGGTGTAGTTTTCCAAGGAAAGAACAAGAAAAGCAAGTTGACCAAATTTGTATTCCAAGTGAATGATATTGAGAGATACACAAACTCTTATTTTTCAAATCTTTTAATTTGTATCAATAACTACAAAAAGAATGGCAATGAAGCCAAAGTGAATATTCGAAAGATAATTCTTTAGTATATGGAGATTTGAAAGGATATGTTACAGGCAATGAAGATTATAGCTTGATGTTTCGACTATTCTCACTAAGTGGGAGGTTGTAGAGTTGAAACTTGTAATAAGATTCGAAAGATATATCTTTAGGATTTGTGTCTGTAAATAATGAAAGTTAAGCACTTTCCTTATCTAATCTATTTACAAGGCATCTGATTGTTTAGATATGTAATGATAAGTCCTTGTAATTTTTTTGTATGTTTGATGTACCCTATAAATAGGGTAAGTATTAAGGTCTAGAGTAAGGAATCAAGCACTTCTCAATACACTTGTACTAAAAAACCTTTGTACTCTTCTTGTTCTTTATTGCATTCATATAATCTGTTGATTTAGATCTTCTTGTTCTTCATTGCATTCATATAATCGATTGATTCAAAGATTGTTTCTAACACTCTTCAAACAAGTAAAGAGTTTTTATTCAAATCAATGGAAGAAAGATGGTTCGCATTGGAATTTCATAACTTAAACATTTGGTGAATGAATCACTAGAACTCAGAGTACAATACTTATAGTGAATCTCTAATTTGGCTATAGCAATCCATGAAGCTTGAGATTACCTAGACTTTTTTAGTTGATACAAGGGCTAGAGAATCTCATAACACATTCTATTAGTTAAAGTTAAAATTTCCATGAAGCATGTAACTGATGAAAATTAACTAGCATTATGATTTAAAAGTCACCAAATCCAAGAGGAGCCAAAATGCTTTCACTACCATGTTAGATAAAGTATTTTTATGATTGTGTCGAGTGAAAACAGACACAAGAACCATTTGTTGCTTGTTAATTTGAAGATATATTAATAAAAGAAATATGCATAGAGAAAATGTTAAAATAGAAAATATTTTCAACAAGATTTAAGAACAAGTTCATGATGTTTTCCAAGACTATTACACCCTGACCGTCGGTTGAAACTCCCAGGTTGCAACGTAAAACATTGGATCACAGTTAACAACACATATCAAATAATATAGGGATTTACATTGTTGATAATCTAACATACGATATTTACTAGATCAAATTCTACATAACGTAAGTCAAAATGAAACAAAAATACCTTCCAGATCGGCTGACCATTCAAAACAGAGAAGTGTATTAATCCATGACACACAATGTATGTCTTTAAACTCCTAAGTTCCTGAAGATACATATGTTTGAAAACAATACGTCAACAATAATGTTGTTGAGCTTTATATGTTTTAACTTTGTATGAACTTATAATAAAAAAACGTGTTTATACTAATGAATTATAAAAGTAAAATGCAACATGTTATATGCTTGTAAATCTATACAAGTAAAGAGATTTGTTTATCGTTCTGACTCCTTGTGTTTTAATAATAAAAAGTGTGTTTAGACCAATGAATTCCAAAAGTGCAAAGTGCAACAAGTTGTACCCTTGTAAACTCATACAAGTAAAAGAGATTTGTTTATCGTTCTAACTTCATGTATTTATATAATCAAAAGTATGTTTAGACTAATGCCTTTGAAAAGTGTAAAGTACAATGGGTTTTACACTTGTAATCTCATACATGTAAAACAGATGTCTTTATATATATAACTTATCAAACGTAAGTTATAACTTGATAAAATTTCGTGTCGAGTTAAAGATTTAATTGTTCAATTAAATCAATATTTGACACTTAACCATTTGAATAAATCGTTCTCATGTTATTATTTATAATTATAAATATGTATCCGAATCGTCGTTTTATATATAAACTTCATTTTATACATATTTTTTCTAACCACTTTATTGTGTACACGTATAATACAGTACAATACATATTATAGCAAAACCATATATAAATACACGCACAACAATATAACAAGTGTTTAAATAACTCTATTATTCCATTTTTATATAAAAGCATTTTTTAGCATCATTAGTCATCATTTTATATAAAATCCTTTTAAAAAGATTCATTGACATCTTTTTATATAAAAACTCATATAAAACTATTTATGGACTTCTTTTTATATAAAACTCGTTTTTATAGAAAAATCATAACCCTTTTTATATAAAGCCTTATTTTGTCAATTCTTATGCAAGTCTTTTATATGAATACATATAATACATGATTTTACCATTTTACATGTATATTCATACACCACTTTATTTTTGTTGGTTAGGTAATATTTTAGACAGATTTTTCCTATAATACATACAAATACATATTTCGTTGTTATATTATGCATAACATCCACTTATATAGAAATAAAAGTCTTTATGTATTTAACACACACATATATATATATATATATATATATATATATATATATATATATATATATATATAGAGCATTAATCATAACCATGGTGTATAAAAATGTTATATTTGCATATATATATATATATATATATATATATATATATATATATATATATATATATATATATATATATATATATATATATATATATATATATATATATATATATATATATATATATACTCTCTCTTAAATCTTGATATTGACTTATGATTCATTTAACCAACCTTTTATGTCATAACATGTTCATGAAATGACAAGAGTCTCATACACTTAATTCCTAACATGTTTATTAGCCTTTTAAAATAACACTTATGTGTATGTATTTAAAATGAATACAATGAAGTGTGTAATAACATAGAATACACACATCATATTATGAACACATAATAGCATCAAGCCCTAAAAATCATAAATTCTTAAAATGCGGCCAGAAAGACTCACCCTTGATGCATTTATACTCGAAGATCGGGGCATAGATCGTGATTTTCTTGACTTCGATCTTGAAGTTTTTGAACCAAACCATAAACCCAATCGTGTTAATCTTTACGAATGAGACACGAAAATTAACACTTTTAAACCCGAAGGATCCCGAGCTTTTTTGCAAAAGAAAATAAATGGAGGAGCTGGTGTTTTCCATAGTGATAAACAAGAGGATAGTAAATTGTGGTTCGGTGGTGGCTAAACAGTTGTGAGGAGGGGAGGGCCAACCGATCGCTGACGGTCCCTTTGTGTGATATTTCTTGTCGTCCACACCAAAGAAATCAAATCAACAACAGCAATGATTAGAGATGGTGGAGGGGGTGTTTGGCAGTTGTGATCGATGAAGGGAAGGTAGAAAAAGGGAGAGGCGGCAACCTCTTCCGTGGTTAGATAATCACCAAGCTCCACTGTGTCACACCCCTGAACTGGAAAGGTAGAAATGTCCGGAGGCGAATGACTTCATATTGCAATATCATCATCACCATACATGAAATATAACAACCTCCATAGTTTACATCATTGTATTGTTCACAAAATTACATGCCAAAAAAATAATGTATGGTGAAAACAAAAGTACAACATTCGTTCAAATTCCATAGTTGTGTAGAATTGGCTCACTGAGTTCTTGAGAATACATGTCGTTTGAAAAGCGTTAACTTGAAAAGCATTAACATATAAAATGTTGGTGAGTTCATAAGTATGTTTGAAGGAAGGGCATTGTAGTAATTATAAATCTCCAGAAAATGTGATATTTGCTTGTGAAAATAGTTTGTGAGTCTTGTTTTCGATCATGTACAATTGCGTGTGTATTCCGTGTTTATCTTGTTTGATAAAAAGGTATAAAGAGTATTTCCCAGAAAATCCCATATTTTCTTTTATATATAAAAAAAAGTGTGGTCTTAAACCCTAAGACTCGTGTGGTGAAAGTAGGAAATAAATAGTTAATGCATGGGTTCATTCTTCATAACATGAGTAGGCGTAGATATGTGTGCGTAAATTTAATGTAGTATGGTATACGTATTGTTATTCTTGTCTTGACGTTCCTCAGGCGTCAGTTTCTAAAAAGGTGTTTGTCTCCCTAGACTGGCCTGTCTAGTTGTTGCGAACAGCTCGGGTGTAGGGTGTCAACCCCGTATAGATCTATACACAAACTCTTATTCTCCCTCCAGGAGACTCTGGTTATTACTACTGGACTTAAGGTGTACAACTAAATATCGGTACGGTGAATATGCGTCTCACAAGAGCCTTAACAGAATTTATGCAACATTGAGATTTATGATTAATCGTTAAAAATGGCGTTACCGGTGTACATGTTAACTATAATCATAGGAGACAAAATAGTCCGTTTTTACCAAAATTATTTGTTTAAAGCCCGTTTTCACAAAAGTATTTAAAATGGTTCTTATCTCCATAAAATACCCAAAAATGGGCCAACTTTATTTAAAAGCCCATCTTTGACCTTTTTATATTAAACTGGCCATGGGTGGCCATTTGTAGTCTTTATGGTA